ACATGTACCACATGTGATGTAGTTTATTGTCATACCCAGGACACAAGAAATTCTGGTATTTTATTTTGTGTTGTTTAATTTTTATTGGTTAATCCTGTTTCATGTGCATTCAACAAAAATATGATTACTTCATTATATGTGTGGATTAGTTAAAAATAATTTTACTCAGATTGTTGTTAAAATGAATAGTTACATTCTTGTTAAATTTTATTATGATTTAATCCAAAGAAACTTTTTGTGTTTGTACTTGGGGGTCTGATTATGTTTTTTTCTGAGACAGAAAGTTTTTAAAATATATATATATATTTTGAAAGTAACATTTTACTTTCAAAATATTATCAATCAAATATTATTTTCATTTAGTGTGTCTTTCTTTTACTTTGTATGTTTGACTGTTTTTTAATATATTCTAATAGGAAAAAGAATATTGTTATTGCCTTTACAATTTTATCTTAATTTTGTTTTAGTATTGAAATACTTTTCAAAACTTTTGCATTGAATATTTAAAGATTCTCATAAAACTTTTGTTAAAAGTATATAATTGACAACTTTTCAGAAGTTTTCTGCTTCTTGACTTATTTTTGTACTTTAGTTTTTACTGAAATTCTAAAGATTATGTGAAGAATGTTGCATAAAAGTTTATATAAATTGGGCAATCAGTAAAATTCAGAAAACTTAATAATATATTCATCTGAAATGAATATGGACTCCAATTATCTAACAGAGTAAGTATTTGAGCTATAGTAGTATCATCTGTGCTTAAAAAAGACTGCTTCGAAACTGAAATGAGTAAGTGTTACTTTCTCATTTTAAAATATCCAAGTTTTTAAGGTTAATGTTGATAATATATAATCAGTGTAATTTTCAACTATAAATGAACTTTTAGGTGAATAATTTGGGACTTATTTTATGCATCAACTGTCAGAAATTAGTTTGTTGGGCCTTCGACGAATACCTAGACCTAATAATTTTTTGCTTTCATTTCCATTCTGAAATTAATCATCTGAAACCCATTTACTGTTTAACTAATAATCTGAATTATAATATTTTTGCATCCTCAGACATTTGAAAGATAATAAAATGTGCATGTTTCTCCAAAATACCAGTACTTATATATGTATATGAAAGATGCTGTGTTCAGTTAGGCTTAGTTACTTTGCTTGTAATCTTTAAATGACATATTTAAGTCACATGCTTCAGATTATATAACCATGAAATGTTAGAAAAAGTTTTTGAAGGTAAAACATTAGAAAGATTTTAATGCCTCTGTTTTTCAGTTTCATGCCATACTTGTGTACATTGTCATTCCCACTGTAGCTTGTTAAAAAAAAAAAAAAAAAAAAAGATATGAAGAGAAATAATTTAACTGGGAAGAATTTTTGCATTTCATGATCATCATAGGTGAGTTAATTACATTTTATATGTAGGTTAGAATTCAGCAAAATTGTTATGTTTTTAGATCTAATTTGTTGGTACTATAAACAATAGTTTTATAGAGCCAACAAATATGTGTTGCATATTAGAACCAGTGAAGATACAAGATAAATAACTTGGGAATATTTTGTTGGGATTTTCAATTTCAGATTTAACATTATGGCTGCATATATCATTACCATTATTACATACTGCCTCCCATGACTCAGTGTTTAAAGATGTGTGTAGGTACAAAAAAAAGTTAGTATGTTTTAACTTTGGATTTGGTACACATGGTGTGCATTCTGTGGAAAGATGTATTGAATTGTACCCACACTGCCCATGGTCACATGATTAATTTCTGTATGGATTTGTTGCTATGTATTGTAAGGAGACTTGTAACAAGCAGGCATGCATGACCCTTGCTAAGAAAATATAAATTTCAGGAAGGCAGAATTTTCTCCCCTTTCATTTTTATTCCATGAAAAAGCATAATCCATAGGACTAGTACAAAACTGGTTGTCTCAAAATTCTGTTAAGTCTTACAATTTTAATATATTTAGAACCCCATGTGTACATACTGTAAATAAATAAATTTCCTGTTAAATACAACAGTTCTGTTGTGACTTGAAAGAAATTCTAAGATCTATTTTTTCTTTCCTTTTTTGTGGGGCTGCATATGAGCCAGAATCCCACTTAATCATGGCTTAATAATTGATGACAAAGATGATGGAATTACAACCTGATTCCTGAAATCTATTCATTCTATGAAACTATCAGTGAATATATGTAAACAATTCATATGATCTATTGGTTTCTTTGACTGAGTTTTTTTTTTTTTGTTAATTTTTATCTTTTTTTGAAAAGCCATTTTCTCCAAAATTATTCTGTCTCCCCAGCCACATGAATCATTAAAATGGATAAGCATTTATGTAATGCTATAAATTTTTACTCTCCAGAAAGTATCTTTTTTTTTTTTTTTTTTATTACTTCATTTGAGGAATGTAGTGGGTGGATTATAAACCTGTATTCAATGATACTAAGTTATTTCCAGCTTAATATTCATGTTTGATTTCTCAAAACTAAATTATTTCTCTTTTTTTTTTTTTACATTTAATTACAACAATCTTTAAATACAACCAAGCTTTCTTTTTCCCTCTGTTCTGTCTAATAAAACTCAGTCTTTTTACATTTAACACTGTTGTTCACTGTTAAGCTTCCTTGGAACTCTATTTACTCTCTGTATATGTGTCACCACCCACTTTATCACACAGAGGCAAAATTAAAACTTTCTTTGGTTTTGAGTTTGAATTGTCTTTGCTAAAATTGTTGAATGGTCTGTGAATAATTGGAAACAGTTCTATGTGCAATGACCAATTTATAATTAGTTAATGTGATTGAAAACAAGAAAATACATTTTACTAATCTTTTCTTTCTTTTTTGTTAGACATTACATTCCGAAGGTTTGTTTTTCATTTAGAGAGAAAAGAACATAAGATAAAATAAAAAAATTCTAAAAAGTTTTGTTGTCTATTAGAAAGTAAGATTTAGGAAATTAGTTGTTGAAAAGAATGTTAATGATGTAAAACTTGGCTTAGTTTTAAGTATTGTGTTGTGGAAATTTGGGTTGCTTCACTAATTGTGCTCTGCTGAGAAGCTAGTGTCTTGTTTTGTAGTGAAGCTGAAACAGACCAGACTTGTTGCAAGTGGCAAAATGTTCAGAACATCTTCATTTCCTTTATTTATAATATTAACATCCCTGTTCAGCTTGAATTCATTGAAATTTCTTAATGATTAAAGTGTTATTTAAAGAGAAAACTTTGGAATATAATTTCAAATGGTGAGAACAGTTTAAGAATGGTTGATATTGTAATCAGAAGATATAGCAAGGACAAGTAGATGAAGGGAGTTACTGTTAGCAGTTGTGGAAGTGATACATTATGTGAGAATACAAAATGGAAAGCTAAAGAGATATGTGAACCAGATATGAGTGATACTTAATGCTCAATGAGGAAAAAGGCAAGTAACATGAGAGACTTTTGCTATCATAACTGATCCAGAAGACATTACTGTAAAACATGGTTGAGTGGAAAATAAGATCAGGGAACTTAGGTAAAATTGTAGATAATGAACATTGGCTTTCTTTATGCTCCTAGTGGAATTGTTGTGGGAATTCATGATGTTTCTTTTTATTTTGAAATTGAACTGGTGCTAAAATTATCAGTGCTGAACTTTTTTGTTTACTTTTATATGATTGGATGTGGCCAGACATTAGCTCAGACTATTATAAACTGTATTTTACAAAAGTATTTTTATTCTTTTGTTGAGTCAATTAGGACCAATACATTCAGAGGCAAATTGAGTCTGGAAGCAGTAAAAAGACTCTGAAAAATCTTCATTTGCTTTATATATAATAAAAAAACGTAAATTTTTTTAATGATTTATTTAAATATGAGATTAGATAAGCAAGAATGTCTTTTTGTCTCATGAACTTATTGTTAAGAGGCAATAAATACTTTTGTTAACACTATCATTAATTTTATATTTGAAAAAAAGATTTTTTAAATACAAAGAAATGCTTGTTTAACCATCATATTGTTCTTATCTCTGCTTAAACTGATTGCAATTTATGAAGGTTTAAGATATCTGCATTTGTGAATAAATGATAATTAGTTCCATTACATGTCCTTTTCTTTGAATATTGCTTTTCCTTTAATTTTCACTTCTGGTTTGGGACAGAATACATTGTTTATTGAAATATCATAATCATTACATATTTTTGTCTCAACAGTTCATTAAAAGAATATTTTTAACATTGAAAATTTGTGAGGACTATAAAATATTATTTCAAAATATACAAGAAGGAAAGCATTCTTTTGTTGTAATTTTTACTTGTTTCAAGAAAACTATTTTGTTGTAAAAACATTATCATTATTTATATCCAGTCATAAAAACATTATCATTATTTATATCCAGTCATAAAAACATTATCATTATTTATATCCAGTCATAAAAACATTATCATTATTTATATCCAGTCATAAAAACATTATCATTATTTATATCCAGTCATAAAACTGTTAAAACAAATTAAAATATGTTGATGATATCCTGCGTCATTAATGTTTAACAAGTATATTTTCTGTTTGTTGCTTATCGGTGATTTCTCTTCTTTAGTACCAAACCAGCATATATATTAAACTTGATACACCATAGCTGGTTGAAGAATCTTTTTTTCATTATTGTCAACAACAACATTTTTTTTCATCAGTCTTCTTTCATTAACATTCCTCTCTGATTATTATTGTTATTATTAATACTAACTTTGCCAATAATGAAGATTTCATTTTTGTTAGTTAAAAGAAATTGATTTTATTCTTTAATTTCCAGCAGATGTATATTTTATCTTCTCTTTATTTCTCCTCCTGTGATGCTCTTACCACCAGAATTGATATTTTCTAGCTCTAGGGACTGCTTTTTGGATGCTGCTGCTACCACTACAGCTGCTGCTACTGCTTCTGCAAATTATTTGCTACTGCAGCTGCTATATATCTGTTAGTACTGCCATCAGACTGACTGCAAACACAATGGAAGATTTGGTAGGTTTTTTCTTTCTCTTTTTTTCTCTCTTTAATTATGTCCGTCCTTTTTCTGAATGCTTATTAATCTTATCTGCCCCCCCTTTCATTTCATTCACTTTCTTGATCCATCTGGACTGTCACTCACTGTATTTTATATGCATGTGTTTGTCTGTTAGTCTGATACAAACATATTGTAATTAAATGGACTGGCAATAATATCTGTTGTTATGAACTCCTTTTTGTTACACTTCTTTTAAGAGAGAAAAAAGTGGAGGGAAAAAACTTGGATTTTATTGGCAACAAATTACTATTGTTTCGAGTTTCCTTAGAAATTGTCATGCCATTTGGCTGACCAACCTCTCTTGTCTCTCCCTATAGACATCAGAAGACTGGGATGTCACAACCAATAGTAGTGGTGAGAAGAGAACCAAGAAGGGACACAGAAGATCTGCATCTTTAGGTCAACAGGATCAGTTACAGGTAAAAAGAGAAAAGACTCTTATAAAATCCTTTTTTTTCTATTATCCATTTTTTAAAAATTTCAGCATTTGCTTTCTTATTTACTTCCTTCCTCTCGTTATGTCTCTTGATGACTGCTTCACAATCTTTTTTGATGGACAGAATCATTCTAGTTTCTTCTTTTTAGCTCTGTGGTTTATCTTTGGACAAGTTTATTTTTTAACCTTCTCTTATCCTCATTGAACATATTCTTGGATTCCCCTTTTGGGTTGCAGGTGAGAAAGCAAATATGGACCTTTTTAGAAAAGATATGGTTACAAATTTAATCATTAATTTTAATAGTAAATTTGTTTTAATTTTTTTTTTTAATATTTAAATTAAATATATTTAATACCTTTTTTAAGCTTTGCCTTTTCTATTTATTGTTAGCAGCTGCTTTCATCTGCTACTTGCCTGACAGATCTGTTACAAGTGAGGAAGTATTGATAGACTATAAAATGTACCCAGGACAATTCTGTTATGGGTATTAAAATGGTAAATTTTAATTGATAATTTCTTTGTTCTAAGTTAGTAAAGTACTTTTTTTCAAATGTATAAAATTAAAAACAAAACAAAACTAATCACTAAAATGATAATTGTTAAAAAAATTGATGTTGTTCTTCAGTTAATAAATTGTGTTCCCAGGAATTAAGACTTTGTAATCCATATATATTGTTGTTGCTCTTTTCTTTTTAATAATATCTTGCACTGACAGATGTTATTAACAATAGGTTAATTTTTGCCCCAGAGTGACCAACTACAAGCTTTTCATGAACACACAAATACATGAACTCCTGAGAGACTTCATTATGTCACTTAAACTTTTTTTATTGCAATGATTAAACAAAGTAAAAATGTAATCTAAGTGAGAAGGAAAAGTAGAAAGTAGTAGTAGTAGTAGTCAGGCATATGTCGATCCATGTTCTCACATGGATCTTGATATGCAAAATTTTAATTTCCAAAACATGGGTCAAATTCAAATGGTGAAAGTCAAAAACAAATGAAATGCAATTAATTTTGCCAGTAAGGATATAAATAAAATACATCTGCAGAATTGTTAGAAGTGACAAAATAATAAAATGATTAATTTCAAATGAGCTAATAATCAACTGGCTAAGATACTGGTGGTAGGGTATATAATTTAATTATATTTCCTTGATGTTTGTTAGTGTATTTTTGCATAAATAACTTAAAATTTCTTTATACACAGAAAAAATTAAATTTGTTTCAAAGCCAACTTGAGATGGTAGAAGCTCAGTGCTCTTAAATTGGTGTAGGAGGAAAGAAATGAAACTATTATCATTATGACACAGTCATTCATTATTTTTTAGTTGGTGAAAAAAATGTATGTTAGAATTCATACTGAATTTTGGTTTTGTTTTCCTTCAAGTTATTTCATGAAAATAAAAATAAAAAGCCTGTTGCAATTCTTTCATTTTTGGAATTGTAATCTTTGGTATTAATATTTCTTTCCATTGTGTTTCTAGATGGAGTGTTTAAAGTAACACATCCAGTTTCCAGGACTAATTTATCATGCATAATCAGTGTAAAATGACCTACAATCTGTTGTTACAGTCTGTTAGCTTGTTAATTTTAATGCCTACGAAACTAAACTGCTCTCTATTAATCATCTAAGAGACCCCTTTTTGCCTTCCATCAGCATGGCTGATGCTAACCCCCAGTAGAGTAGCTCATTGTGCCTTTACATTCTAACATTCTCAGCTGGTATGAAGTGTAGACTATATTGAATCTATTGCTAGGTTTGCTGCTAGTTCACTGTGTTGTACTAGATAATTTTTCTCTCCTGAATCTATCTTACATACTTATAAGTCTACCATTCATCCATACCTCAAATATTGCTGCTACATATGGTCTGATGCTCCTTTAGTGATTCTTGATATTATCCAAAGAATCAGCAATATTATTGGTCTTGACCTGCTATCTTGGCTCCAGTCACTTTCCCACTGGCCTAAAGTTGCTTCCTTGTGCCTTTTCTATAAATACTTTCATAGTAATTGTTAAATGAACACTTTGTTATGGTACCTAGACTTTATGAATTTAAATACAGTACTAGATTAGCAACAAGGTCTCATCAGTTTACAGCTGAATTGTCTAGATGTAACTATAAGTTCTATGCCAACAGCCTCTTTATCACATTTCTCACTTGTGGAACTCTCTTCTGGCCTCTTGCTTTCCAGTCAAGTTTGATCTTCAAAAATTTAAATGCAATGTCAATCATTTTGATTGTCTCCTGTATACACTTCTATTTTTTTTTTGTTCCTCAATAATGCTTCTGTTTTCTAATTCTTTTACACCCAGTAACCCCTTGTGTTTTAGTAGCTTTTACTGCCATGAATGGGGTGAATTTGATTTAAAAAAAAAAAAAAAAAAAAAGGGAAAAAAAAGATTGGTCCCGGTTCAGTTACATTGAGAGTTACAGCTATAGCTGCTATTATAATATAGTTTTTGAGTGTAGTTTGCTTACTAATTCTTTTTATGAACCAGTGATGAACTATTTTTTTTAAATATCAAATAATAGGACAGAGCATAGAAAGAAGTAGATTCATGACTTCCTCCAGTGATACAAGGATGAAGTGATCCTAGTCTTAATCAAAATTTGAACTTTGTTTACCAATTTTGTTTTTCATGTTGATAACACTTATGCTCCTCTTCATCTCCATTTCTTTAAAAATAAAAGACAACAACACATTCTCTCCTCATAGAACAAAAACAATGAAGTTTTACTGTTGTATTGCATATTGTTTAACATTTATTTCTAAATGTAAATTTTCTCTTCATAAAGAATTCCATTTCTAGGAGTCTCTTTGGTTTATACCTGCATTCTTTGCTATTTATTATATATTGTGTCACAACTATGCTAAATTTGATGTTAAGGAATTCATAAGGATGTTCCTGTTTAAAATTATGTGGTAAATGTATTTTTGATGTTGAAACTTTGAGTCTTTTAAAAACTGTTATAATTTCCTTTAGGGGAATGGCTTACACAAAAAACTAATTCATTTGACTTAGGATATTTTCAGGGAGGAGCAGATTATATTCATTACACATAAATTTCAGTATTGAATCTTTATACTTAAGAAGACAGATATATTTGTAGCAATATCTACTGCAATGCCCACTGGTTTTACCTTTATGAAAAGAGCACTGTTTTGTTTTTAAAGTGCTTTCTATACTTGATACATTTTACTACTTTTTTTATTTTTAACAGTGAAAATTGAAATGCAGCTATGTACTTTTATGCTCAGTGAAATAGCAAAAAGGGTTGTTTAATAACTTTGCATATTACAGAAATATTTCCAAACTTATTTATTTTATTCTAATATTTTTGTCCAATCTTGATTTCCTTCAATTATTTATCTTATAATTATCAGTGTTAACTTTTCCACTGATTTAATTAGGAATTTTTAGTTATTACCTGGATTTGTTTTCCATAGATTTAGTAGGTTTCTTTTTATGAGTAGTATTATTATAATTTCCTTTAATTTCACTTGTATTCACTTTTCCTTCTGGGTCCCAAACACAGATCTAAATTAATTCAAAAATGGCATCATAATGTTTTCCACAGCACATGTGTATAAGAAAAAAGAAAATTGGACAGCTATGGTGTCTCCAGCTAAATTTTCAAAATGATCTACTCTTTCTTATCAAATCATTAAATGAATGGCCACTCTTCTAGATTCTTTTGCATTAATGCAGGTGTCCTGCAGGGCTCTATTCTTGGTCCTACATTGTTTTTAATTTTCATTAACAACCTTCCTGATGACATTAACTCTCAACTTGTTTGCTGATAACACAATCATTTACTCTTGTCTCAATACTAAGTTTGATCAATCTGATAAGGGCAAAATGGCTGCTGATGTAAAAAAAATGACATTCAGTCTTTTGTTAACTGGGTAAAAGGATGGCTTGTTAATTTTAACACCTCCAGAACAAAACTACTCTATTAATCATCTGAGAGACACTTTTCTGCCTTCCATCAGCATGACTGATGCTAACTTCCAGGAGAGTGACTTGTTCTACTTTCTCAGCTGACATGAAGTAGAAATATTAAATCTGTTGCTAGGTCATCTGCTAAGAAATTTAACTCACTGTGTCGTGCTAGACAGTTTTTTACTCCTGAATCTATCTTAAGTACTTATAAGTCTAACATTTGTCAATGCTTAGAATATGGCTACCACATATGGTCTGGTGCTCCTGCCATATATCTAGAGATCTTGATAAAATCCAGAGAAGAATTAGCAATATTATTGGTCTTGATCTGACATCTGGGCTTCAGTCATTTTCCCACCACTGTAAAGTTGCTTCTCCCTGTGTGTTTTCTATAAATATTTCCATGGCAACTGATCAGATGAACTCTTCATCATGTGTTGCATCTCATGTTTACAAGATAACAGAGGGAAATAAATAAGGAAGACAAACTTGTAGGTTTACTACATGAAGGTACACTTAGCAATTGACCTTTGAAAGTATCTACAAATCTTTCTGCCATGCTAACTCTGCACAACTCTGCTTATTTACATAAATGGACAATTCCATTCATTTATGTCCTATATGACATCTCCCCCTTTTGAGATGTCACTTGCTTGAGAGTCGTACCCTTTTACATTTAGGGTTTATCTCTAACCTATCTGAAGGTTGCTTTCTTTTCATGGACCATCTAGTTTCTGGAGCTGTTTGGAGAACAGGTACATTGAATATGTCGAAGAAAACATCCACTGGTTCTTCATTGCGACTTTGTTCATTGATGTATCTTTTTCTTATTTGGCTTAAATGCCTTTTATGCACCCAATTTGCATCCTTATTTCAGTATAGTAAATTTCTGATGCATTTATCAATAACACAGCTCTCCCAATGTTCGTTTCTATTTCTACACATGCAGAAATAAACTTTTTCTTTGGTTCTGAAGAATTTGTTATAATTACTCAATCTAGTTTCATTTTTTTTTTTTTTTTTCAGCTTTC